AGCACCGCGACGACCGGGACCTCAACCCCGTCCACCTTGACCTGCCCTGTGTCCTTACTGTACTGCGACATGTAAACCTTGCATTTGCGGGGATTGAGAGACAACCCATGGTGCTTAAGTGTGTCCGCCCACTCCTGTAGTCGTCTGGAGATCTCCTTCGTGGTGCCATCCCAGATCAGGCCATCATCCATGAAAAGTAGTTCCTGGCAATCGAGCTGGTCGTAAATCTGGGGTCTCTTGTGCCACTGGCATGCATTCTTAGTGTCCCTGAGTATACAGGCAGCCAACCATCCGAAGAGGATGGGCGATTCAACCGAACCCTGCTTAATGCCTCTGTCAAGCTGAAGTCTCGATTGCCCCCATCCTGTCGAGAGTACAGCATCCGTTTCGCACAACATGGCATGCCAGCTGCGATATGTTGGCCCATCCCCAATTGCCTGTTTGAGTCTAGCCAGCAACGCTGGTCTGTGCACCATATCGAAGGCCTTTCGGATGTCAATCTTAGCCGCCACCAAGCCCTTGTGCCATTCCGCCTCCAGGTCCATAACCCTAGCCATCCCGAAAAGGTACTCTGCTGGTTGCCTGCCTGGTCCACTACATTGAGCCCCCTCGCCCGCCTGCAGCCACGGTGCCGTTCTCAGCAACAATAGCCGACTGTACACTTTCGCCGCAGCGCTGCCCATGGAGATTGGCCTCAGGCTGCCCGGTTCCGTAGGGTGCAACTCCTTGGGGATTACTATCATCAAGGCCGTATTCCAGTCCGCCGGGACCGAGGCATCGCGATACACATCATTGTAGAACTTCAAGAGTGCCTGCCGGCCCCCAGGAACCTCAACCAAACCCTTGAGGAGCTCGTGGCTAGTTCCGTCCACCCCCACTGCCTTGTTGGGCTTGCCCTGCCCGATAGCCCCTTGCAATTCGTCCTCCGTGAAGGGCTCAATGGGTCCTTCCCAAGCAGGTTCCGGGGGTATAATCAGCCCTGTAGTGTAAATGCCCTGTAGGTGATGGTGTATGACCTCATGAGGGTCCTTGCCCTGTTGAGCCTCTGCGAACTCGACGTCCCAGCCCACGTGCTGAACCGGCCTGAGCCTTCTGACTTCCATCCAATCACCTGCGGTGGCTCTTTCGAGCCTCTCCTGTTCCCAGGTTTTTCTCGCTTTCTTTCTAAGTGCCCTAGCCACAACCCACAGGCGCGGTGCTCTAGCAGCCTTGGCCCTCCTGAAGGCCATTTTCACCTCCTCGGGGTCCACGTAGGCACGGCCTGGCCGTGGTCGGGAGTGCTGCCGCGCAAGTTCACTCAACCCTTGTTGTGTAACACTATCCAAGCGAGAGAGGCCACCCGTCCAAACCCTGGGCTGTGTCCTGAATCTCGTGCCTGCCATGGATGACTGAATGGTGATGGTGGTCGAGATGAGCTCATGATCCGTACCCAAAGAAAGACAAGAGTCCCGGTAGATCCGCAAAGGCCCTGGTGATCCTGCATTTGCCACGACACAGTCAATCTGCTTGCCACGTCGGTGCAACTGCCTGGGCCGGCTAGTCGGTGTTCGGTAGTCCTCAGGTGGGGGAGCCACAGCCTGGAGTCCTCGGCCCATGCACTGTCCCAAGAATTCCAAGGTCTTACCATTGTTGCCCGTTGCCCTACAGGTGCCCTGCTCATCGCAACCCCAACCCAACTCTGCATTGAGATCACTGGCGAGGAACGTCGGCAGTGTGGTTGGCGGAAGCACCGCCAGGTGGTCCGAAACTTCCTTGGCATGTTGCGCCTGTGTGCAGCCGGGAGTGAAATGTGCTGTTCCTACCCACACCTGAAAGCCCTGTGCATGTCTCAACCGCAGCCAAAGGCCACGACTGGAGGCTTTTTTGCGCATGACCCTCCAACACTCTCCACGGAAAGCA